CCAATTATCCTTTCTTTTTTTATTTTTCTTTTCTTGTTCAATTTACATAGGAGGGTATATTGGTCATTTTGAATTAAAAAAAATGTGCAAAGGACGTTCAGTGCAAAGAAATGCAGAAGGTAGGGACGTTTTGTGCCAAAAAATGAAAGGTAGGGATGTTTTCTACAATAAACTTGATAGGTAGGGACGTTGCGCACCAAAAAATCAAACGTATGGATGTTTTCCACACAACCCTTCAAAGGTAGGGACGTTTTGAGTCAATAACCCAAATGATAATATTTTTAATACGTTTAGAGGGGGTTTCAAGTTGACGTCAATAATAATATTGTATAGTATATTTCAGCTAAACCCAACCTCACGAATAGTAACCAATTATAATTTATACTTTTAAATTTTATTTTATTTTTAATAAAGACATCCACATATGCTTTGTTAGTTTTTAGGCTCCATCAAGAAAGATCGATGGAGGTTAGGATTTTTCAACCATTTATATATAGAGAGATGCTACACTTACCGAAGGGGCTGGAAGGGGGGTGAGTTTTTTTTTTTTTCATTTTTATATTTTGGTGGGTCCCACACATTGTGAGTGTCTGTAAAACTTCCGTCAAAATTTCTACTGTACATATGATTTAATCCTTATATATATATCATTAAAAAAAAAGAGTAGAGGAAAGGAGGGAACATAAACCTGATTTTAAAAAAGCAACAAAGTACCAAATGTAGTAAATCAATAAATGAGGAGTATTACTCCATATACAATGAGCGCAAATAAGTCTTGACATTTCATATCTATTAGTCTACACAAGTGCCTTGAGCTGTCGAAGAAGGTCATATAATCCATATTATTGAACAGAATATAACATAGATAAGGATTTAAAAATAGACATTCATCATAACAACATATACTAACTATTGGAAGTGATACAATTGCAAATAAATTAAGAGCACAACAATTTAGATAGGTGGGACATATTTTGCTATGACCTAAAAAGTCACTTGTTTTTTTTTTTTATAACCGTGGATATTCGGGTCAACTTGCGTGCACCTCGACTAATCTCACAAGGTCTTAAAGTTTACGGTCAGGTACTCATCTTAGTAGCTCTTAGAATACTCGAACTAATGACAATTGGGGATCACACCCAAGGCCTGACCAATTGAGCAAAAACACTCAAAGAAACTCATTTTAGGGTGTCTATTGATTTCTGGCCCTTTATTTGATGCAATTTTGGATCGGGCAATTTCCTTTGCCTTGTGCATTTGAAGGCCGTTAGTCCCCTTGCCATCATATACCAAACTAACCTTGCAATTCTCTGGGGCATGCTTCTGAACATATTCTCCTTTTCCTTGTCCCTTCCCTGATAGCCTATAATGAACAAGAAAACATTCTCGAATTACGACTGGTTGGCGTGCCGCAAGTTGATACGACTACACTAGATTTAAGACAACATGTTCCGTCTCCTTGACAGTACATACTTTAAAGTGATGTTTGCTCAACAATTTATGCATGCATCGGTGAATTGGTTAAGATCAAACAAGAAATACACGTTTTACATAGTGAATACATGAGAGTATGTGTTTATTTTTGTTTCTTTCATTATTGCTCTCAAGATTGGAATTAGAACTTATTCGCCAAGACTTATTTCGACTAAGAATTTCCACTAAAAAGAGCAGACCGATGGGGACGTTTTTTAAGCACAATGGAACAATCTAAAAGGTTATGCAACCTAGAGAGATGGCGACATCTATTTGATGAATATGGTATTGAGGTTCATTTCATTTGGAAAAATGGTCAAGAGGAAGTGTGAATATTTTATAGGTCAATATCTGCTCAGTCTCTATTAGCACCTTCAACAGGATTCTGGGTTATATCTCACATTGAGGGTGAACTATGACTTGTTTTCATTTTGTTCATCGCAGGATTGAAATTAGGGCTTAATCTCACTCAAATTCCTTGTTAAATGAAAGATAACATCTGGAAGAAGGGGGTTTACCTTGTGCAAGGTGATTGTCTAGTTCCAATAACAAGATTAGTAATGTTAACAACATGAATCAGATCAAGAATTGCCTTGGCTCCAGCATTGCTCTCCACAAGCATTGTCTCTACTGCTACCTGTGAACAAAATATCGAAATTTCATTAATCGAGTTTAAATACTCCGGAATTGGATCCTTAAAATTGGAATTTGTCGCGCAAACTATTTGTATTTAAACGGAATAAATTCTATATGTACTTTTGCATCGTTGCACAGACGAATATATTTTTCCAAGAGATTCCTCCTCCTTTTGCTCTCCTCATTGACATAAGCCTGCACTTGCTCTTTGCTCAATTGGCTCTTTGATAGCCTTCCAACTGCCCAAGAAATTTCAAGCCAACAAACTTTTCGATCACTCATTTTAACAAATAGTCTAAGTGCAAAAGAATGCAAAGACCAAGGGTTGAATTTCACAATACTTGTATTAAGAAAGAAAAAGAAATTTAAATATTTTCCATTATACTTCCTAATCGTGTCCAATACCACGCGCTAAGGACCCTACATTTCACTTATCAATTTTATTGATTCAAAATTGATATGGGAATAATCAAAATTGTTAATAAGAGTTTTCTAATAACAAAGTTTAAACACATAATATTTGGTTTGAGATATGATCTTATTGCTTAAATCAGAGGGTAGGAAATAAACAATATATAAGATCATCAACTCACGATCTGATCCACAATTGCGCGCGCGCGCGCACACACACATATATATTGGATAGAACTAGACGATAAAATAAACAAGAATTTTTTTGTTGATCCTTCTCCATTCTTGATACTATCTACTGTTACCCAATTCACAATCGTGACAAAGGTCTGCTATATACAGTAAAAGTAACAAGATTTTAGCCCTTTTTCCGTTGTTAATACTTCTAATGCTATTCAATCCTCTTTACCAAACATGACGTTCGAGAAAATAAAACAAGAAACACAGAAGAAGTGTAGAAACCGTACCTGGAGTAGGGATGTGAGTAATAGGAGGGAAAACATGCACAAGGAAAACGCGATTTTTCCCTGGAGAAACAGCATGATCAAGTGCCCATTTAACAACATACAAATCATTTTTCCCAACAGCAACATAAATATCATCAAAACCTCCATCCATGCTCGACCTTTCCTCTACAATCTCGACTATCTCGGGCGACGCGACTTCCCAATTACGACGATATGACCCATCTTCTGCAGCCATTGGATTTCCTCCTAATTCCATCAGAAGAGAAAAAGAACAAATTCGATTCAAGAGAGGTGAAAAAATGGAAAAAGAAAAAAGGTCGTTATTTTCAATGCCATTAAAGAAAAGAAAATGCAAAAGTTAGCTTCTTTTTTGTCAAAATTTGCTGGCTTTTTGGACATATCACATAATGCGATAGGCAACGTTCTTTGATATTACAGAAGAACCTTTGTTTTTTTCCTTTCCCGTTTCTCCATAGCCACATGCTAACCCCCATTAGCCTTCTTTTGGGTTGACTTTACACTTTAATAAAAGAGATAAAGACCATTTTGCGAACACATGTGAATGGTTGTTAATTATGTAATCTTCGACCACACTTTAATTCATTGAATGCATTGTTCGGTATGCAATACAAAATAGGAATGACCGTACGATTGAGATTTTAACCTTTTTCATCTATTGATGTTGTACATTTCATCTAACCAAGCGAGTCATGAAAGTTATTGGCTAAAAGTCCACCATACGGACATGATTTTAGCTAAAAGTACTACGGCCTTATAAAACAATGATATATGGCTTGTCTTTGGTTTAAAATAATTGTTTACTTCTAGGAGTTTGAAATGAATTAAGTTAGAAACCCTTGGTTCTGAAAATTTATCAAGAACAAGACTAGTTTGCCATCGTTGTATTCTTTTTCCGACCCCACCACTTAACATTCCCTTATCATGGATTTAGTACTAATCGTTGACAATTTTGTGCATAGTCTACATGTCCCAAAAAAAAAAAAAAAATTGAAAATCACCCGAATTGTCTACTTCAGATATAAATTTCTTTTTGCAGGAGTTTCTTGCTTGTTCCTAGGAGACGTTCTTGAAATGTTGTCTTTAGCCGCATGGTCAGTATATGCTTTATTCCCAACTAGAATTTTGCACCTGAATTGTTGAAAGCCTTATCCAAGATTGTGGTATGGGAAAAACGTTGCTGCACTTCTAGTTTTAGATGGATATTTATGTGTGAACAAAGTATTATGTCGTAATATTTCCTATAGAAATAAGTAAAACAGTGAATTTTTTTTTTTGATATACATATAAAGTGGATTAGGATGGAGAAAACCGTGAGCCAAGAATACCCAGATACCAAATTAGCAAAGCATGTGGTGTACGAGCCCCCAAACGAGTTTGTCATATTACAAAAGAGCGACGCACTTAATAGAATCATATAATGGCGATGTAAAGTGACATGGTTAAAACTTAATTATAATGTGGAAGGTTCTCGTTTGAGGAAAAGTTAACAATAATCTCATAAACGAAGGAAGATGTTCTAGCATCATCACATCGAAACAAAATGAAAGTGTTTAACAACCATACAAAATATGCTTCGTGCAACCTGAAATCACCACTTATTGGGCAGATTAATCAATGGACAATTCCACTTGTACATCAAGGGATACATCTCTCTCACATGGGAGGTGGGACCCATTGAAATAATTTTTTTTATTCGAGTAGACCCCACCCCCCATGTGAGAGAGGTGTAAACCCTGATGTAAATCTTGATGTACCACTAACATGGTCCTTAATCAATAAACAGAGTCGATCGCTAATTTTGAGGACATATTTCTTCTCAATTTTGTCGTTAGGCACAACTTCGCTTTTATCAATCCCATTTTGACCTATAAATAATTCAGTTCGGACGTAGAATATACATCTAGAAATTTTAACAACTCAACCACGGATCGTCTGTTTTCGACCTTCATAGAAAACAAATCTAGAAGAAGATAATATTCAGAACCATAATGCAAGCTAGGTAACAAATTACCCTCAGGTACATGATGAACTTGTGTAGTTTTACACGAAAAAAATGTGCCCACTAGTTATATAAAGGTGTTTGCTCTATCAATTCTAGTACCCAATCTCCCCCACAACAGCATAATATGGTGCAAAGAAGGGCTAGTGGCTTAGTGGGTGGTGGACCATAAAAGCACTACAAAAATGTTGGACCATTTGTCACACAATATTGATTATAACAGAAATCAATAGTAGCAATAGAATGCAAAAACTGAGCAGAAAAAATAAAAAAAATATCGTCACTTATGCGTTTACTTATGCGCCATAATGTGAAATAAAAGAGTTCGATTTTCATCATCCATTATCATTAGCCTCATCAAAAACGTAGTCCAAATGCCTATAATGTTGGAAATGAATACACAAAAGTATGAAAATGAAGAAATCACAGAAAACATTAAGCATCCGTTCAGATAGCACAAGATTTTCTAATGAAAATGGTGGAGATGCTAAATGAAGTGATCGTAATGGATCTAACGGTTCTAAAATGTCACCTAAGTACCATATAAAGGAACTCTCTATATACATTAGAGTCTTCCTCCAACTAGATTTTTTCTATGTTTTATAAAGACTTGAGGTCCAGAATGGTGAGATTGTTTCTTATTATACTGAAACTGCTGCTGATTCCAAAATCTGCCAGTTGGGTATCTCTTCGGCTTCTTAAGCCGACAAAAGCCTGGACGAGAAAATGGAAGGTAGCTGAAGAAAAAGCCACAGCTACCATGTTTGGCTATGGCAGTAACCTACTCTATCAAAGAATTTTCTTATCTATACACAGTAAACTCCAGCCAAAATTCACTTTTCATTCACACAAGTGGTTAAGAATACCATTAATCCAACATTAAGTCTACATAAATCATCATATAATTGATTTGAAGTTTCAAGAATTGATAAAAATATATTAAAAAAAATTCTCCCCGTCCAAAAAATTTAACTTTCAGGTGAGTTGCAATAGCATAGTAACTGTCAGGCAAAGGCCGAGGTGGTTCAAATCTAACTGCCACCTGTTTGTTTAAATTCCACATGTCAGAGCCTTACGAAGAAAATGAATGCAAAATGCATGTAATGAGGCATGTCGAACATAATAAAATAAATAAACTGATTCAAGAAAGTGTATTCCAATTGCAACTTAAGGTCCTTATGGACCTGCCTCGCTGGGTTTCCTAAGGTATCAATATCATTTACAGATCAGGTTATCTGTATATAAATGCAGCAACCTGATTACTTTTTCCAGATTACTGAAAATTAATGCAGGTATGACCATCTGCTTCTAGTCGCTGGAGGAATTGGGCTAACACCGTTTCTGAGCATTTTGCAAGAAATTGGCTCCAAACTAAACAATGGCAGAAATAGATATCCAGCTTGAATACAATTCCTCTACACAGTAAAAATTTCTCAAGAAATATGCTTTTTAGATCCAATTTTACCTCAGCTTCTAGACATTGAACAATGTCATATTAAACTGAAAGTATTTGTGACTAGGGAAAACCAGCCTAGTACAACACTAAGAGAAGTACTTAAAGAATTACCTGGCATGCATATAATAAATTTTAGCACAACATGTTCAAGTTATGCAACATATGGACCTGAGAGTTTACCTTGGATGGCAGCCATTGCCATGTTTTCTTCAATCATATTTCTACTCTTGCTTAGTTTTTTCAACCACTTCATAGTCACCCCCGCCAAGAAGTCCTCTCGACCGAAAAATCGCACTTCACAGATAGATCTCCTTCTTATATGCTATTTTTTCATAGCAGACATATTTAGGCCCCATTTGATAGGCCTAATTTTCCTTGGAAAATGGAAAACGAATTCATTTTCCCACTTTTTAACGCGTTTGATAGGCTGAATTTTCTAGGGAAAACTTTTTCCTCATTTCCTTCCACGCGCCTGATTTTCCATCAGATTGAGCAAAATCAATTCCTCACCTTCAGCTGGGAAAGCACTTTCCTGCCAAGAAGGAAATTGCACAAAACCGATCTTCCCACCACCAACCTCTGGGTCTTCCACAAAATCTTCCACCAACCTTTGGGTCTTCCACCACCACCACCACCGCGTAGACGACGGCGGAGAATACCCATCTGGGCGTGGCGAAGGGGGGGAGGGTGGAGACCCAGAATTTTTGATCTCTGGTTATTTCTTTGGGCTTTTACAATCCTTAACACCAATCGAAATTCTCCTGTTCAGAGTCAGATTCAGAGGATAAATTGGATGTCGCGGGTGCAGTAGAGGGCTTTTTGGCAATTGGAGGTTGGGGTTCCTCCTGTTCAGAGTCTGATTCGGAGGAACCGATTTCTTCAGATGAAGCGTCGTCTTCTTCAGTGCCGGATTTCGATTTTGGGATTGATGCGGGACTGTAGGAGATTCCAGAGGTGGGATTGATGCCATTTGTAGTTCACGAATTCCCACTTGTTGGGGCGGTGGGGGAGTTAGTCGGAGGTGGGATTGATGCCATTTCTAGTTCAAGCGGAGGTGGAGAGTTGGCTGGGGGAGTTGGGCTTGCAGGTGGTGGAGAAGAGTTGGCTGGGGGAGGAGGGCTTGCAGGTGGTGGAGGAGAGTTGGCTGGGGGAGTTGGCTGCAGGTGGTGGAGGAGAGTTGGCTGGGGGAGGAGGCTGCAGGTGGTGGAGGAGAGTTGGCTGGGGGAGGAGGCTGCAGGTGGTGCAGGGGAGTTGGCTGCAGGTGGTGGAGGAGGCTGCAGGTGGGGAGGAGGCTGCAGGTGGTGGAGGAGAGTTGGCCGGGGGAGGAGGCTGCAGGTGGTGCAGGGGAGTTGGCTGCAGGTGGGGGAGGAGGCTGCAGGTGGTGGAGGAGAGTTGGCTGGGGGAGGAGGCTGCAGGTGGTGCAGGGGAGTTGGCTGCAGGTGGTGGAGGAGGCTGCAGGTGGGGAGGAGGCTGCAGGTGGTGGAGGAGAGTTGGCCGGGGGAGGAGGCTGCAGGTGGTGCAGGGGAGTTGGCTGCAGGTGGGGGAGGAGGCTGCAGGTGGTGGAGGAGAGTTGGCTGGGGGAGGAGGCTGCAGGTGGTGCAGGGGAGTTGGCTGCAGGTGGTGGAGGAGGCTGCAGGCTGGGGGAGGAGGCTGCACGTGGTGGAGGAGAGTTGGCTGAGGGAGGAGGCTGCACGTGGTGCAGGGGAGTTGGCTGCAGGTGGTGGAGGAGGCTGCAGGTGGTGGAGGAGAGTTGGCTGGGGGAGGAGGCTGCAGGTGGTGGAGGGGAGTTGGCTGGGGGAGGAGGCTGCAGGTGGTGCAGGGGAGTTGGCTGGTTGGCTGCAGGTGGTGGAGGAGGCTGCAGGCTGGGGGAGGAGGCTGCACGTGGTGGAGGAGAGTTGGCTGAGGGAGGAGGCTGCACGTGGTGCAGGGGAGTTGGCTGCAGGTGGTGGAGGAGGCTGCAGGTGGTGGAGGAGAGTTGGCTGGGGGAGGAGGCTACAGGTGGTGCAGGGGAGTTGGCTGCAGGTGGTGGAGTTGGTTGCAGGTGGGGGAGGAGGCGCAGGCGGCGTTGATGCTGGAGGATGATCGGATGTTGTCGGAAATTTTTTGTTAAGTTGGATAGTTTCGCACAAATAATCATAATTTTCCATAGAAAACAAAGTCGATCAAACACCAAAAGTAGGAAAATCTCAATATTTTCTAGGTGGAAAATTAAACCAATTAAACGCAACTAATTACAATTCCCTAGAAAACAATTTCTAGGAAAATTCCTGTAAAATATTTTCTTTCCACCCATTTTCCATCCTTGCAATCAAACGCACCCTTAGTTCTTGATGAACATGAAATCCATTTTGGAGGAAGGCCAAACTTTCAAGGTAGCATTTCACAATTCTTTACTACCAAAGTTATCTTAACCTGCAGATACTAATCCTGAATTTCATGCTCCAACTGCTGCAAACCTTACAGATATATTCTCCAATTTCACAAATGAATGCGGGGGGATCAGAGATAGGCGTCTTGGTTTGCGGACAGGAAACATTGAAACAGATCGTGGCTTCAACATGCAAACTAAGTTCTCATGTTTCAGGAATGAATTCTCAGAAATCAAATTTCTGTTTCACTCCCTCAACTTCACACTCTGATAAGGCATACGAATTTACATCTTAAAATGTTTCTGAGTTTGATTATTTAATTTTGCTTATGAATCATGCCAGCATGTGTACATATAAACGTAACAAACGGAACGCATAATGTTCTTCCTTTCCCACCATATGGATCATCATCCATTTACTCTCTTGAAAGAAATTGTCAAGTCCCGTTTCTGAGATAAGGTGGCAAATGATTTTCCTAATTTTTTTTCTTTGATAACCGTGGATGTCTGGGCTAGCTTACGCGCACCTCGACTAATCCCATGGGACCCTGAAGTTTACGGCCGAATACTCATCTCAGTGGCCCGAAGGGGATTCGAATCGGTGACTATTGGGGAGCAAACTCAAGGACTGACCAAATTGAGAATCTGAGATAGTTGTCTAATGTTGTAAATTCAAGAAAGACTATTGAACATATCCACAATATAGAATACATTCATAATAGACGTCATGAACAGTTATCATATTCAACCACACTCGTCAAAACTATGAAAATTCAAATTCCAAATGCCTCCAAGATAGAAAATTACATCAGTTAAAAGAAGACTATGACAAAATAATAACCAGATATAATATTCACACCTGCACTCTTGATGGGGACACCCCTCATTGTTCTTCATTTTCACCATCTTCGGAGGTATTGCTTCTCATGGGTGTCAATTCAGACAACAAATCTTTCGGTGCAACTGAAACATTGTCACCTATCAATATTGCAACCACCTCCCCCATGGTAGGTCGATGGAGAGGGTTCGGGTGACAACAAGCCAACCCCAATTTCAATATTGCCTCCATCTCCTCCACTTCATACTGTCCCTTAATCCTCTCATCTGCTGCCTCCAACAACCTGCCCTTTATATACTTCTGCCTCACCCAGTCTTCAATATAGCCTCCATCTCCTCCACTTCATACTGTCCCTTAATCCTCTCATCTGCTGCCTCCAACAACCAGCCCTTTATATACTTCTGCCTCACCTAGTCAATCAACACTTCCTCCTCCTCCCTTTCCACTGCAGTCTGTATCGGCCTCCGTCCACACGCAACTTCCAATACCACAACCCCAAAACTATAAACGTCACCGGCTGCTGTCGGAGAAGCCTGTGTAGCCACCTCAGGGGCCAAGTACCCGAATGTCCCCACCACCCGAGTTGTATTAGGCACCTCACCATGTGCATACAACTTTGCTAGCCCAAAATCGCCTAACCTCCCTCTCATATCACTATCTAATAACACATTGCTCGACTTAATGTCCCTATGAACAACCACTTGATCCCAACCATGATGTAAATAATTCAAGCCCTCAGCAACATCAGCCAAAACTCTCCTTCGTCCTTCCCAATCCATAAGCTTTTTAGGCTTATCAAAAATCCACCTATTCAGACTGCCATTAGGCATGTAATCGTAAACCAGCATCAGTTCATTCCCTTTTCGACACCATCCTCGCATTTGAACTAAATTCTTGTGCTGTAGCCTCCCCATACTTGAAATCTCAGCCATAAATTCCTTAAGTCCTTGTTTAGAATCATGGTTCACGCATTTCACCGCTACCTCCATATTATTCGCTAATGTTCCTTTATAGACTTTCCCAAATCCTCCTGCCCCGAGTAGTTCATTACTAGAAAACCCTTTTGTAGCCTCTCTAAGCTCCTCGAATGAAAATCTATGAGGCCAATACTCCATTTCCCAATCCTCAACTCTATCATTTTCTTCCACCTCCTTTCTCCTCAGCCAAAACCAATATAACAAACCCAAAGCAATCACGAAAGCCACCGAACTACCAACTGCTATCCCAGCAATAGCACCACGAGACAAAGAAGACCCTGAACTTTCCAACAAGAAAACAGGTAATCCCGTAGTATTAATATCCCTTGCAACCCCAGTATCACTAAAACTCCAAGCCAACACTCGCTGCGCCTCAACCCACTGCGTCTTGGATGCAGAAAATCCTATAAACATCTCAGCTACACAATAATTCGCGATGGCAGGATTCCTGTAGGACAACATGGTCCTGACAGGCCGAGCCATACCGGCCGGCGCTATGGTCACATTGATCTCATTTCGCGGGCCATTGAACTCAACCCAGGCATGAATATTCTGCCCATTGCGCATAGCAACAGGAACAAATGAAAAATTCCCAGAATTATTGGTGTAGTAGCCAGCAGTTTGTGTAATCACAGATTCAATGTTGTTAAGGTCTATTCCCACATGATTCCCATCCGGGTCATTGAATTCTGGGTTTCTACCCGTATCAAATTCAATAGCTAAAAGCGGGGCTACAGTAGGGGTTCTGGAGCCAGAAAAAAGCCCAAAATACTGGCCCGACAGCGCGTTGGGCGGGGAAGTGGAGGCGGAGAGGACAAAAGCGAGGCCAAACCCTGGACTTGACGAAATCTCCGGCAAAACTGAGAACACAAACTGTGTCGAAAACACTGTTGTGATATTAGTCGAATTGGAGTTGGATTTAAAAGGGATTCTCGATGGATAAAATGCGCGGCCCAGAGAGAACTGATTGGAATCATTGGTCAGGCGGATAAATGGTGGTTCAAGGCGGGCGTCGTCGGTGAGGTTAAGTGGCGAAGTGTCGGCGGCGGCGAAGGAGTTGTAGAGGAAGTCAACGGCTGAAGTCAGAGAGAGAAACAATGGAGTGAACAGTACAAGAATTACCCAAAATGGAGGAAGCATAATTACAAATTTTGAGATTTGAACATATGAATTGTGATGAAGAAATTTCTTGAGGATGTTTGATCAATGATCATAGTGGATTCTCAGGATTGAATGATTGCCTTAATTATACGAGTAAATTTACCCGTGTTTCTTATTAACCACGCATTGCCTAGATGAAATAATATTGCAAATAAGGCACCGTTTGGTAACCATTATTCTAGAAAAAAATGCATTCTTTGTGTCAAATCACATTTTTTTGTGGTTGAAAATGAAGGAAAAGTTATTGATGTGATGGAAAATATTATTTTATTGATGAATGCGTGGTTGAAAATTAGTAGAATAATGAGAATGAAAAAAAGAATGGATACCAAACAGAGGCTAAATTCAAATATTCTCTTTATTTTTTAATCATATATTTAAAAAAAAAAAAATTATTCCAAAATAATTTTTTTTTCATACAATGAACGTCAAACAAGGGCTTAAATGCTTAATCAATCTTCTTTCAACTTTAAAAGTGTGACTACTTAGAGTTAATTGTTTAAATAGTCACTCGTTTCTTCGATTGCTTCCTGTAATTTAAAATGTCGTGATTCGGCCATTAAACTTTGAAAAATGTTGGACGTTACTCACAAGTATAATTTCAGTTTAAAATCTCTAACGAAATTGATGATGTGACTAACTGAATGTACAAGTGGCTTCCTATCACGCCGTTAAACTTTGAGATGGTCGAATTTTGACTAATGTCTTTGATTATTAACTAAATTTTGAAAAACGTCTTTTATTACTCACTGAACTTTGAAGTATTCAAATTTTAGCCACTAAACTTTGAAAAGCGTTTTCTATTCTTCACAATAAATTTGGATTTAATTAAAATTCATTTTTAAAATAAGTTTAGTCGTCAAAACTCGACATTTTATATTTAAGTGAGTAATCAAATATATATACATAAATTCAATGACCATTGGGACAATTAACTCCATGTTAGAGCAGTAAAAGCAAGCTTTTTCCCCCAAAGAAATTTAAATTTTTTTCACAACTTACTACCTAATAGAGCATTTCACATTCTTTCTATATGCTGTAGCTCATATAGTATACAAATAAATACTCTTTTACGTGACATTAATATTTAATGAATAGACGATTAAATTCTATATCAATCAGCTTCGTCTATAACTCAAATACAAATTGAGACGCTCTACGTCGAGACGAACTTATTCATAGTGTCTATTTTGTAAATATTTTTTATATTATGTTAGTATTTATGATTTTTTTTTATTCACACATTACGTGGTATTCATACCTTATAAATATTTAAAATTACTATAAAATAATCACTTAAAAAGGCACTTTTGAACGGGATAATAAATTGTTCACCGAATTCTATTTTGGGGTGTAGATATCGGTAAGATATGACGGCTCAAATTGGGAAGAAACTTTGACTAAGTTTTTTTTGAAGAAAATGGTGTCTGTCGTATATATATAATAGGACCATGCTACACTCACAAAATGTTTTACAAAATGTTTTACCGACTGGTCACTTGGCGCCCCACCATTGGAGGGGCGCCTGTAATGACA